TACGCCATCACAGAGGCGTGCACAGAGGCGTGGACGAGCTCGAGCAAGGCTCCTTTGGCATTTGCACAAAAAAGGGATCAAGACCCTCTCTCCAGGGCAACTGTCACAGTTGGTGGACAAGCTCCAACACCATCACTCAAAAGACCAGGCATTCATCGACCGCATCAAAACAGCACAAATGGCGAACAATGCAGGACCATGGAGATGCAAGACCTGCATGAAAATATGCAGCTCAACACATCAGTTTTGTGGAGTGTGTGGGATTTCTTGGCACCTATGCTCAGATCCATCTTTTCGACCTCCTCCTCGACAGTCCAGGTCACAGCGCTCAGTCCAGTGGACCTACGCCAACGACTGGACAGAGCAGGATTGGGAAGATCCATACTGGGATGCGTCTCAAGTCAGCGACTCGCAATGGACGAGACCCCCGAAGCCAAGAACGTCTTCCAGAAGAAAGTCCTCACGAAAAGCCAGCAAAAAGGATGCAGACTCTCACAAAGGTGCAAAGGGAAAAGGCAAGGCGGCGACCTCAGAGCCGGAGAAGATTGGACCACCTGCTTTGACAGCAAGTGCAATGGACCCGCCATGGCTGCAATCCATGAACTCACTTGCAGCCACCATGCCACCACCGGCACAGCAGAGCTCAGAGGACAAGCAGCTGAAGACACTCATGGCAGCGCTGAAGAAACACAGCGATACACTGCCACCAGAGCTCCAAAACATGGTCAACGAAGCGGCAATCAAGGAAGGCCAACAGGAAACCAAACAACTCCATGCAGTCGTGGCAGCACATGGACGAGCACGAAAGGAACTACAGCAGGCACAGCTTGCAAGGTTCCACCTACACAACGCATGGAGAGGATTCCTCAGCCAAGCAGTCACCCAATGGCAAGGTTACAGTGCACAATTCATGGAGCAGGAGAAGCAGATGAACGAGCGCGTCAGCTCAGCCATGGAAGCACTGGATCAAGCCAAAGAATGCTTGGCGAAAGCCAAATCCACCGCAGGGATCGAAGCAAAGGAAGATGCAATGACAGTCAGCGACGAGGAGCCCGACAAAGATCTGGCGGGCTCAACGGCAGACCGCATCAAAGAGGGCCTCACCAACCTGCAAACCAGCTTAGAAGCCTTACAAACCTCAGCAGAACAGATGGTGGAGGACGAGCAAAAGGCACTCAAACGGCCTCGCCTCGACCCAGCACATACGGAAGTCTCAAAACCATCCGAATCGCATGGTGGTGCTACGGGGTTTGGCTAGGCCGAGTGAATACAGTGATGGAATCTATTGCTCAGAGGCCTTTCTCACATGCGGTCAGTGTCTCAGGATGCATCCCAAAGTGGACGCATGGAGTTCTTCAAGAACCAAGTTTTGTATCTGAATGGCAGGCAAACGATGCTGCATTTCACCTAGCCTGGGAAGTTGGCACTTTGCCACTTCGAACCAGCTCAGGTTCGACCATTTGCCCAGCCACGCACATTGCCAAAGCGATCATGCCTCACCCAGTTTTGCGTAGGGAAGGCTCTAAGGTTGACAGTGGTAGTCAATGCCCCAAGGGTTACAGGCCAGGTGTGAAAATGGTAGCCTTCTCTGAAGTCTTGTGCATTAGGATAGGCGAAGACACTTCCAATGCTCTTCAGGACTTTGTCACGCATGCCAATGCCTTGTTATCCCCTTGGAAACCATGGAAGCTTCTTCCATCAACTGATGCTGATCAACAAAATTTTGCTGATGTTCATTTTGAACATGATAGTCCCATATGTCACCCGCTGCAGTCGAAGCATCCGTCCACCCGTTTTGTACAGGTGAATTCAATGCCACTCCGTGCTTCTGTACAGACCGAAGTGTTGTACGCTGCCCCGCAGGAAGCCGAACATTTTTTCACCTCATTCACCGTGCAGCCGGAAACCAATTTTGATGTTTCACCTCGGATTCCGCAGGTTGCCCAGCTTGGATGCAGTGCCAGTCAATGCAGTGAACTTTGCACTGCAACATCAAACCCGGAAGCAGACGCCCCTGTGCACTCAGAAAAAGTGACACCATGTCCAGTAGAGCATACACCACCTTCAACTAGCAGGCTACTGACAGGCAAAGCCTATGCCAGCCGAGCAGTATCGCCTGCCTGTTCCTGCAGTGAGTCATGCTCCGATGTGTCCCTTGTTAAGCATCACCGTGTGTTCTTGTCAGGTTTAAGCCAGATTGACGCCTTGTTGCAGGATGTTGCCCAACAGCCGTCTTTTATGCACCGTGCAGTGACATCATCCAAGAAACATGCACTGGATCAGGTTTCACCTTCCGACCATCATGGTTCCTTGAGCCTCATCCATGAGAAAACCCACATTGTTGAGGTTAACAAGCATATCAATTCAGGTTCCTGCCTGCCTCCACTAATGCAGGCTAGAAGAGAACATGAGAGCCCGATTGCACACCTTGTGGGACCACAATCGGATGATGATGACACCAATGATGAACCCATGGACACACGATCAGCCCATTCTCCCAGCCTTTGTCAATTACCTAACCAATAGGTTAGAAGCGCTTGGGCTTGACCCGCATGACAATGACTTCGACCTGCCAATACGCACATGGTACATCGACCACCGCACAGTGCACAGGTGGACAGCACCAAGGATCCTGCAATTGGTAGGACCACCAAGGGGATGGGAGGCTCAAATACAATCCCTTTGGGTTGACCAACTCAACAATCAGGATTGGTTTGATGGGATCATTGTTGAACCTGACCCTCCTCGAATTGCACGTCATGCATTTGTGGTCTTCGACATGATTGTTACTCAGTCCCTTGAGGTACCACGTTTTGCATCCATGATCACTGTCATGCCAGGCACAGCTAACACGTTCCAAATGTACTCAGTTGCATGCTCCCTGCCCGAAGTTGTCAGTGGATATGAACTTGTCCAAGCTGCAGATGCCGGTAGATACTGTAGACATGCAGAATGCCTCATCACGTATCGCTGGATTCAAATCCCAAACACATTGAGACCCACACATCATGTTGGTCATGGCGATGGGTTTCAGATTGTGGTCCATGATCAACCCCATGGTTCTCAGACACACCGAGCTGAGGATGCCAGTTCGTCCGATGCAATCACGACCAGTCCGACGTACTCACCAGGTAGACCAGGTCAAGCAGCGTCCAGTACCCAGCCTGCCAGATTCACCACCTCCCTACACCTGTTTCAGTTAGATGGAGTTGAAATCTGTTGCCAAGTCATGAATGACCAGCGCATCATGCCAACGCAAGAAATTGCAGACGCTCTGCACATCACGCTGGATCACTTGGACGCTGTACACGTCATGCCTCACATGCCATACCAGATTCCTGAGTACGATATGGCAGCAGTTGTGCAAAGAGCTGGTGACCTGGCCCACAACACCATGGACCGGTTGCTATTGGTGGACATCATCTACCACCACCATCCCAATGCAGAAGGTGTCACACACAGACCCACCTTGGTTCGGGAGGTACAGAGGGTAGGCCACCAACTTCTGCGTCAACACATTCTATTGGCTGCTGCAGTCCATCACTATTGCGTCTTGATCTCAAATCAATGCGTGGTAACCCTGGATGGTTCCCAATGGCCGGAAGACGATCACTTGCCCAGACCAGTGCAGCATGGATCATACGCCCAGGTCATCGTGCCGCCACCACCCACGCATCATGTCCAGACACAGGAAGCAGTAGCTGTAGTGCAAGACACGATGGACAATCCAGAAGACATCACTGCCTTGATCGCTCCATCTAGCACCGATGAAGATGCAGCCATGCCGGAAGAAACCAATGACACAGACACTGATGCCTTGCAGCTGACCCAGCTTGCAGTGCAATATCGTTCCCATGGTTACAAGCTGTCTCCAATGCCAAAAGATGCAGACCAACAACCATTATGTCTGGGTGCGGTACTGCAGCACCCTGCTGATCTGAACCCCCAGACATCCAAGGTTGCCCACACTTGTACAGATGAATCCCGACAGTCAAATCGATCCATGGTGAACACCTTGCCAACACAGCACTCTCGGAGTGCCAACAGCCATGCTGAGGATTGCGACCAAGGGATACAGTCAAAACCTACCTTGCCAACTGGTCATGGGTCAAGCCTCCAGGCAGTAGGGCCAAGCCATACTAAAGCCACAGACAGCGCCCTTGATAATCATGCCATTGCTGTACCAGCCAAACAAACCAAAATTTCAAGTTTCTTTGCGAAAGTTAGCAGCCGTTTGAGCACACAGCCTAACTCAAAGCAAACGAAACAGACGAAAATCAGCCAATTTTTTCCTGCAGTATCACCAAAAGAGCCACCGGCTCACCCAGTAGATATGTTGCAGGCAAAGCTTCTTGAACCAGTCGCCCATGATCCAGTCAATGCTGAATCAGTAACTATAGAGCCAAGTATGGGCACAGAAGTTCAACCCATTCAAGCACGCACTGGCATCTCTCACGAAGCTGAACCGCCTCGCTTTGAAGCCAGGATCCCAGCACAGAATATGAACCCGAATGTGCCTCGTCCCAGACCACTCTGGCACATCGAGCTGAATGCCATCTTTCTTGAGGAAGCAGCCACTCTTCATCGGGAGATTGGCCCAGAGATGTCGGTTGAAGTATGGTATGTTCACCATACCCACATGCCGATATGCAGAGCACCAAGACTGATTCGGCTTGATGACGTACGGGACCTATGGTACGCTGACCTTTGTAATTCATGGTTTGACCAAATTCGGCAACACCAACCAGTACGAGTGCACATCGTCAAGCCCACTCCTCCTTATCAAATGCGACGGCAGGCAGTGATCCACATTATCCTGGAACAAGGAATGGTGCCCGACAAAGCCGCAATTTTGTTCACTGCAGCCTTTCATGGAGGTACCAGAATGGGATTGCTACAACAAGCTGAATCCTCCCCTGTTGACATTTGCACTGATCAGGTCATCCAAGATCATGCACTGCAGCCGCAATGTGACTTCCGTCCATGCCATTTGTTCTCAGGTAGGTACCGCTTTCATCCCAGCAACCGAGAACGAGTCCCATCCGGCATTAGCATCTTGCTGGATGTTGGTGACCACAGGTTGAATACCCAGGCACGATCAAGTACAGACATGCCCATGCAAGTTGACGCCCACAGTGGTCCGAGTGATGGAGACTCCAGTGCACGCAGTGACATGAGTGACACCAGCACGCTTATGCAGCGACCAAGGTTCAAAGCTTTTCCGAAACCTGCTGCAAAAGCGCGGCCAGTCTCACCACGAGACGCTGAGATCGCCACGTGGTTCACCATATATCAGCCACTTTCGCAAGTAGGCCCTGACCAACATCAGCCGGTGCAAGAAGTCCGAGTACAGATCGAAAACCTGCAGGATTTTCACACAGTGCTGCAATGGCAGGTGAATCGGGCCAGAGACACCTGCATTCAGCAAGATGCCAACCGTGCGAAACTAGCCACATGGTACCTTGAGCCCAGCATGCTCCCACGTAGTGACCATCACCGTGAGGTATTACTGTCAGGGCATCCCAACCAATGGCCTAGTGACATCTTGCAACGGTGGGCGGACTTCTTACAGCCAAATCAGCCTGTCCACCTGTATGTAGTGCAACCAGACCCACCTGGAGGTCTACCTGACATTGTAGCGCATGTCCTAGTCGTCCAGAATGCCCCAGCCCAACAGGCAGCCGCACTAGTCTCGGTGACAGAGCTCATTGAAGATCCATGGCATCCCTCAAGGTTTGCACTCTTCCTTAGCAATCAAGTTACATGTGATGACCTGTTTGAACACGCCGGCATTCCGCAGGAACAGGTTGCCACCACACCTGGTATTGGTGCATACCATGGCACAAGTCACATACCTCCAGGCAGCTCATACCCCGTGCACCATGGCTTTGCCTTTGAAGTGGTTACTGACTCACTTGACTTTGAAGGCGATGAACAGGCCCTGCTCCAAAGAACCCACCAAGCGCAGGTTGTACGTGCCCCCAAAGAAGCCTTAGAGAACATGACAACCTCCGACAGCCCGACCAGGTACATCCAAGGAGCAGCACAAGCCATGCAGCAGCTTACTAATATCATTGCCAAGATGGTAGCTGTACTTGCACACAACCCCACGCTCAGGTCACTGCCTCAGGAGGTCCGAGAGACTGATGCCGCCATGAGCCCACAGAAGCACCAGTTCATCGTACCAGACATCGCTGCCCTGAGCTGCACAGCACAGATGGAGCATGTGTCCATTGACACATTGCACAGATGGCAACATCTGGCTGCCATGAGGCCTCAGCAAGCCAGACCCCTGGCTCCCATCATGACATGGTACGTTGACCATGAACGATTCCCACAATGCTTTGTCCCCAGAGAGGTTTTCGTTCCAAGAAACCCAGCCCACTGGCAACAAGCCATCCTCAGAGCATGGAATGATTTTCACTTACCAACCCAAGCTGTTGAGGTGGTGCTAGTTCAACCTAACCCTGTAGGGATGGAGGACCATGTTGCTGCCCATGTCCTTGTGCTTCAACAACAAGCCCCAGGTTTCACCACAGTGCTACTGACCACCATCGATAGTGCAAATCCAGACATGCGCAGACGACACGCCACTATGGTCCCAAGTGTCATTAGTCGCACAACGCTACTCGCCCTGGCTTTTCACCCACAGGACTGCCAGCACAGCTCCAACACATGTGATGCCTGGGTAGGAGATGATGCACTTGAAGAACAGGACCGCATCCAACTGACCGAGGGTCGGTCATGCACTGCCGCCATCCACAGGCGCCCCATGCCGACCACCGATGGTCAGGACCCTTGGGGCAGGATGGTTGCCAACCCATGCAGGTTTCGTGTCCCGATTTGCCTTCAAGCTGCAATCCCGCATAATTCGTGCCTTGTGCCAGTTGACCTTGATGAAACCAAGCCGCAACTTCTCTGGTTTGCAAATGAAGCCTGGAAGCTTGCTCTTGAGCAGGAAGAGCCATTGCCACTCCTACCCTTACCTGACGGCATGACCATCCCCGACCCTGCGTACTGGCCACTTCTGCAGCCACCACCCACGTCCACCAGTGATGCCCTCAGCTACACCCTCTACCTAGATGGTGCAGCCAATGGTCATGATGCAGGCTGGAGTGTCATTGTTGTCGCATGCCATCCTGAGGGTGAATCATTCATTGGATGCCTCCTTGGCACTGTTCAACTTGGATCAGCTCACCCAAACTGGCTTGGTGCCGACACCGCAGACAACATTGCAGCGGAGCTGACTGCAATGGTGGTGGCCCAAAATTTGGCCATGAGATGGGAAGGCAATTACAGCTTCTGCATACGCCCTGATTTATCCCTCAGCCGAACGGTAGCCACCACAGCCACCACATGCAGGTCAAATCAGGCACTAGCAAAGCTGTGTGGAGCCCTGGGTCTATGGCTGGGAAACAGAGTCACCATACAGGAAATCCGAGGGCACAAGGGCCACGCATGGAATGAACTAGCAGATGCAGTTGCAAAATGGGCCATGCACCAACGCTGCGACCCACATTTGCAGCAGTTCACCCAGCTTCATGAACTGGCCACCAACCCACACGATGTTGACTGGGTATGGATGCAAACCACCCATCCTGCCCTTGCGGCATGTTTCCCCCCGCTCACTCAACAGCAAATCATGCAATTCACCAAGCCCAGCCTCCAGCTTGGTGTTGTACCCACTGAACGCATGCCGGTAGCACACCAAGATGCCGCCACCGCTTGGCGCCTAACGATTTGCACAGCAAACGTGCTTGCCTCTGAAGTTTGGGCTCACCATACCGCCGGCACCAAACGCACAGGCCAAAGAACAGTGCGATTAGACCAGCAATGGCGCAATGCCCAAATTCATGTAATCGGTGTGCAAGAAGCCCGCACTCCCCAGGGCCGCTTCCATGCACCGCATTACCATATTCTAGCCTCCGGTGCCCACATGAAGAGAGCACCACTCCTCGGCTGTGAATTGTGGATCCACAAGACCCTCCCGGTAGCCAAGGACGTGGATGGTAACCCTATCGTGTTAGGCAAAGCCATTTTTACCACCCAGCATGCCGATCCAAGACGGCTCTTTGTTGAAGCCCGTTTAGGCCATACAGTCTATGCTTTTGTGGTCCTTCATGCACCCAGCCTGGCCCATGGGAGCCAAGGGTCGCAAGATCCTACTGCACTAGCCAAGCAATGGTGGCTTGAAACCCTGGCATTGTACGACAAGCACGTCACGGCCACTGCACAATGGGTCTTCATTGATGCCAATGCCCCGCTTGACGCAGGTGATGGTACCCTCATCGGACCACACGGTGCTGAACCCGCCAACCAGGCCAGTGAACTGTTTGAGGAGTTCATCCACATGCATCAGCTCACAGTACCTTGCACCTTTCCCCAAGTCCATGAAGGACCAACTACCACCTGGACCCACACCACAGGCAAGAAAAGCAGAAAAGACTATGTCCTGTTGTCCAAAGAGGTGGCCCCCCTGGCAAACAAAAGCTGGATTGACGTTCATCACGATACCACTTTTGCCCATGAAGACCACCTACCTGCGGTCCTGCGATGCTCAGGTTGGCTGCCCACCTCCAATGCTGGCCCCCCCATTGCGTGGGATGAGCCTGCAATGCTGGACCCACAGAAGGTCGCTGACTTTCAAGCTGCCTTGCATACCCTGCCACTGCCGCAATGGCAGGTTAATGTGGACGACCACGCAGCCCTATATGAGCAACAAGTCCTTGCCCTTGGACGGCAGTTTTTTGCCAAGAAGCCCAGCAAAACACGCCCCATCCCACTGCATCCTCAAACGCTCAGTGCCACTGCCTTCAAGAGACACGTCCTTGACTTTGGCCGGCAAGCCGAATGCCTTCACCACGCCGACTTCAAAGCAGAGCTCCGAGCCATCGAAAAGGAAGTGACTCGAATGGTCAACACTGACATCCGAGCCTTCTACGATGACCTGTTGCAACAAATCCAGACTTCTGGAGAGCTTGCTAATCACCGGCTGGTCTTCCGCATTTTGCATAGACTTGGACGTAAAAAAGGAGCCAGTGCAATGGGACCGAAGCCATTGCCCATGATCCAGAAACCAGATGGCACTACAGCCAGCTCTTACCTTGACCAGCAGCAAACGTGGATGCAACAGTTTGCAGGGATAGAGGCTGGCATCCCCCGCTCATGGGAACAGCTTGCCGACCAACATGCCTCCCAGTCACCGGACATGCCATGTCATGACATTGAGCCAGAAGCGTTCCCTGGACAATGGCAGATCCGAATGCTCATAGCCAAGCTCAAAAGGGATAAAGTCCCTGGCCCTAACCTCATTCCGCCAGCATTGCTGAAGGCAGGAGGGCATGTTGCAGCCAAGCAACTGTCCGTGCTTTACGCCAAGGCCGCTGCCAACTCCCGTGAGCCATTGCCTTGGAAAGGGGGGGTCCTAATCCCACTGTGGAAAGGTAAGCTGGCGCCAAGCATTGCAAGTGGATATCGAAGCATCTTTATTTCGAATTACACGACCAAGCTTTATCACCAGTGCTTTCGAGCCCACCTCGTACGGGCGTGGGAGCAAAGCTTGACGCATTTACAATGTGGTGGCAGAAAAGGCATCGGGGCCGACCTGGCCCACCATATAGTCCAATCTCACCAATCTTGGTGCAAGCACAAAGCGGTACCCTCGGCTGCAGTTTTCTTTGACCTGAAATCAGCCTTTTACATGGTTTTGAGACAGGCTTTCACATGCATACAGTCCCATGACGATGCATTCATGGCTGCAATGTACCACTTTGGCCTCACCCCAGCTGACGTCGACCGACTTTTGAGTGCAGCCAAAACCGATGAAGCCGCCAAGCAAATGCCAAAGCATATGCAACACATCCTCCAGGACCTGTTGCACAACACGTACTTCACAATCCAAGGTCTTCAAAACCCCTGCCAAACCACCAGAGGCACGCGCCCAGGCGACCCAGTGGCTGATGTCTTATTCAACCTGTGCATGCACCTCATCCTGACGGATTTCCGCACGCATATGGCAAGCCACATTGATGTTCCCTGGCAAGGCACTGCCACCCCGGTGGTGGACCTTGAAACTTGTCCTGCCATGCCACCAGAGGGATATGTGGATGTCACATTTGTTGATGACTGCGTGGTTCTCATCCATGGACGCTGCAATGATCGTGTAGCCCAAACCATGAAGGCTGTTGTTGTAGCGCTGGATCAAGCAGCCGAAAAAAGAGGACTCAGCATCAACTATGATCGTGGCAAGACCGAGGCATTGTGGACGGTCATCGGTAAAGGAGCCAGACAGCTCAAACAAGCCCTTTATGCAGATGGCCACTCACTCCAATGGGAGTCCAACAACAAGAAGTACACCCTGCAGCTCTGTCATGCCTACAAACACTTGGGCACATGGCTGCAGTCGCACCACAAGCACAGCAAAGAGATCCTGGCCAGGGGATCTGCTGCAAAACAGCAATATGGCCAACTGGCAAGATCATTTTTCACCAAAAAATGTATCTCCCTGCCGGTCAAAAGTACAATCTTTCAGTCTTTAGTCATTTCAAAGTTGCTGTATAACGTCCACACGTGGTCGACAGTCACACCAAAACAGATGCAAACACTCATCAACCACCTGAAAGCCCCAGCTGGAACCCTTCTGAAGGGACTGTTAATGGCACCGACGCGTTTCATGCATACCACGGAAGAAATGCTCGCCTGTGCAGGCATTTTGCCACCAATTGACCAGGTTCATGCCAACAGGCTAAGGTTCCTCGCCAGGCTTCTGGGAGCATGTCCACCCATCACATGGGCACTGCTGACCAACCATGATGGCCCTCACTCTTGGACAGCTTTGTGTATGGAGTCCTGTCAATGGATGCTACTGCATTACGACAGCAAGCTGCCCCTGGACAGCTCCTCCACCTTCCTTGATTGGGTCCGATTCATCCGCCTCGACCCAAGCTGGAAGGGCCGGCTGCGCAAGACAAGCAAGCTAGCCTTGTCCTATCACAGAGCTCGAGCCGAGCATGCAGTGTGGCAAAGACACTTTGATGCCAGGCTGGCAGCTGCCGGCGCCACCATACCGGACAAAGCCAAGCCCCAAGTGCCCGCCGAAAAATTGCAGTGCGATCTATGCCACAAAATCTTTGCATCCACTCGTGCCTTGGCGATGCATGCCACCCGAGAGCATGGATACAAGAAGAAAGTACGCTACTTCACGGTGGGAAGCATGTGCCACGCCTGTGGCCAAGACTTCCACACCAGAAAACGGCTTTCAGTGCACTACGAAAAGCAGCAAAAGTGCTATGATGTGATCCAATCTTGCTGGCCCCCATTTCCCGCTGAAATGGTCCAAAGCCTGGACGATGCAGACAAAGAGCATGAA